GGAGAGGGTCGGGCGCCTGGGCCAAAGGATGTTTGGGAGAACTTCCCCAGAGTCCTGATGACTCGCGCTCACAGAAGGCCCGGGCGTCCAGTCCGCGCCAGACACACCCAGGCGCAGCCCGGAGTGGCGGGCCGCGCCCTCACTGAACTCGGAAATCGCGAGGCTCCGCGCGCTCCGAGGCCCAGGGAATCTGCCTGTCGACCGCTGACGTCACCCCAGCAGCCACTCAGCAGTCCCCTGGCTCCGACGCGCCGGAGCGGGAACCTCACAGTCCCCATTTCAGATCTCCCTTGGGGACCCCTTCATGGTCCCACACGGTCTCTTAGCAACAGTTTCCTAGTTTCTTCATTATTCCAGACCCCCGTGTCCCCCCAAAGCTTCAGACCCTTTCAGAGGTCGCTGAACACCATTCCTCAAGGAACATGACCCAGCCTCGGTTCGTTCCACCCATGGCCAGCGCCCCTCACCTGTAGAACGCAGTGTTGACCCTCTTTTCTCCAGGGAAGCCCAACATCCCGCAGACCACGTGGCTGTTGTGGGCACTCCATCCTTTGTCACACACTTGAGACCAGCCATCTGGAAGCCTGACTTCAACTAGGCCTTCAGTCACAGGCAGGGGTCGTCTGCCCCACCCAACAGCTGGTCGAAGTCGCACTTCCTCTACTTGTAGGTGATGTTCTACCTGGCAATGGAACCGCAAAAAGGGGAAGGAATCCCAGTATCATCTCTCATATATCCTGCCAACTTTAAGGAACCCCAATTCAGTGTGCTTGCTGTAAACTCAGTGGTGGGATGGGACTGCAGCAGGTTAAGAAGGATGTCATGCCTGCTGTCAGTATGAAGTTTATGGACTCTTCTACAACCACAAGAGTGCAGGGACATGGCACTGAGAAATGGCCAAAGCTGCCAGGAGACACTGAGGAAGGAAGACTTAGGTCTGCCTTTATGGAGCAGGAGTGGGCACTCCATAAAGGAAATGGCTTTGAAGGAGTAGAAAATAAGAAGGGAGATGTTCCAGGAGAGCAGGATGCCTCCTTGGGGTGTCCTGGGATGAGTTGGAGAAGCTCATGCCAAGTTTAGTACCTTGAATGCTAATGCTAAAAAACGTCAACACTGGATTATACAGCTCCTAGAAGCTCTATCATTTGTTCACTACCTCCAAGCCTCCCACCAATTCAAACCATCTCATGGGGGTGGCCTATGGGACCCTCTACCTTTAATCTTTAATACCTTCTTTAACTACATAAGACCATCCTACAGTTCCTGCTGTCTGGCCATCCTGATAGGTGCATATGTGTGTGTGAGTGGTATGTACAGCAGACCTCAATGACATTGGAATCTGAGAATCCAGGTAGGCGCTGGTCCTTGCAGATGACTCCGGCATCCTCATCATGGGTACAATCACTGTTTCCCCAACCCCGGGAGGCACATTCAGTCACACTCTGCTCAGTTCCACTGCAGCTCAGGTTGTCCAGCCAGATGCGGCCTATGGAAGGGGTGGGGGATGAGGGTAGAGAGAAGTTTGGGAAAGAAGGATGGAGTAAGGGGGATACTGGGAAGAGTGAACATCAGGGCCTTACACCTGGCCATCTGGCCATGAGAAGGAACAAGGGACCATGGTGGGGAAAAGTAAAGGACATAAGATTGATGGAAGATTGGTAGTGATCTGAGAATACTCAATAATTTAACAAGGTGAATAAAAAACTAAGAACCAACACTGAAGTTCTGATCAGTTCTTACCCATTCCATGATAGTTATAATTAATCAAGTATATACTGTGTGCCAGGTGCTCTACCATGTGTGTATATATAATTAACCATTCTTAGAACAGAGCTGCCAGAAGACCATTTTATATGAATAGACTGAGTTCAGAGAAATTAAGTGACTTGCTTAAACCACATTGTCAAAGAATGGGGTTTAGGAGTTTGGTCTGTCCATGACACCTGGAAATCTAAGATCCTTTCTCCTCATCCTGTTATTCTCCTATGTGCTTGTCCTGTCTATGTTGCCACATAGTCTCTTGTTCTTTTCTCTGTCTGGACCATACTGAATTCTTATAGATGTCCTCTCAGAATTGGGCAGAACCTGAAAGTTGTCGATTCCTGCCAAGATGCAGGGACCCCCCTCATTTACACCCTGATAGAACTTACCCAGTTTCTGCTGGGATACTTTTCTCCTTCCCAACAGACTGTGTGTGTAACCATCAAAAAAGTCCTTGTGATTCTTTTTTGTTCTTTTTCTTTTTTTTCCTTGTGACTCTTTATAACTTTCCTGAACCATGTCTGATTCAGTCTTTTCAGTCCCTCAGTCACATGACTGTCCTTTCCATATTTGTAGACAACTATCATGTAATTGCTATTCAAGACCTTTTCTTTTTATACCAAACCACCTCTGGTTTCTTAAGCTACTCCCCCTGAAACTAGGCTTCTGAATCTTTCACATCTAGGCAGCTCTTCCCTGAAAATATTTCCATTTTCTACCGTTCCTCTTAAAATGTGACGTCTGCATGGGACACCTTATTCCAAAACTGGTCTAGCTAGTGGGAACTGGTGGATCAGTTGCAGGCTACACTCGCTTCTGTCCATCATTTCCACTATGGGTTCATATGGTGAAGAACCTCCGGACCTCAATGAGAATTTCTCTTAAGCCTACCCCCTCAACCTCTATATGCTAGTTCTAGTTTGATTCTGTTAGCTGCAGTATCTGTGCTTCTTTCTGACATTGGAACATCCATACATCATTTACTAGCTCTCAGCTTCCCTTGAAACCAACTTTACTTTAATCATTACAAGACTCACCTGTATCTGGGCTGTCCTTGTGCATGTTTTTTTTTTTTTTTTTTTTTTTTACAATTATCTTTTTGCAGCAGAAAGAAACTTAGAAATAATCTAGTCATTGTGCACATGGTGCATGTGAGGCTCATAGAAAGCAGCGACTAGCCTGAGGTCACAGATCTGGAAGTAACTATGTTGGCTAGTTTGTCACCTATGGGTTTACATGAAGCTGGCTGTTCTTGATGCTGTATGCCCTAGTGGCTGTGCCATTCTGGTGTTCTCTCTCCCTGCACTTAGTCCACACTCAGGTAATACCAAGACTATGTCCGGAGTATTACTGACCTACCTGTTCCAGGGCCATATTTGGCACTGTGGGTCCAGCCTGTGGCCTCTGTGAAGCCCAGCTCACGGCAGAGGACATGGGCAGCCTGCAGTGTGAAGTCATCATCACAGATGGTGCCCCATTCACCAGCTCGCTGTATCTCCACTCGGCCCTCATAGGGTTTCCTGGGGAAGCCAGCCAGCCGGAACCGCAGTCCCTGGCTTCCTGCCTTCTTCTCAGGGCCCGTGGAAGGGGACGGAGACCCCAAGCACAAGCTGCACATGAGGTACAGTAGCAGGCCCCATGGGCTCCACAGCCAGATGCTGACAGGTCGCATGGCAGGAAACGCCTGGACACCCCAGAGAGAGTGTGTAAAGCCCAGAGTCAGAGAAAGGAGGGAGGAGTTGTGGGGAAGGAGATTCCCTTAATGACTGAGAGATAGAAACACACTCTAAATGAAGGCAGAGACACAAAGTCAAAGAGGGATACAGATTGGGGTGTGGGAAGGGGTTCTCTTTCCCTTTTGGAAATAATAAAACTCATAATAAGTAGTTACAACCCACATGTCCTTCCCTAGTTTGCCATCATCTTCATTTATCCCCATTCACCAGTCTTAGAGACCCAGAGATCAGAAGACAGAAGTTAGAGACCAAGAGTCAGAGAATGGTCACGATAAAGAGAGACTGAGAAAAGACACACAGAGAGGAAGACCCAGACAGGATGTGAGAGGAAGGGAGACTGTGGGAATGAAGGGGGCAACACAGAAAGAGACGGTGGAGAGAGACACGCTGAAGATGGATGGAAAATGACAGGGAAAAGAATCATGCACACAGTAATGAGGAGTGAGGGAGAGGGACAGAAGACATGTGAGGAGAGGAATTGACAAGATCCAAGGAGAAGGCAGAGTAGGGATGACCCCGATTAGCCAGACAAATGACAGACAGCTATACAGATTGTGGAGAGAGACAGGCAAAGGGAGACTGGGAGACCCTCAGAACCCTTGAGTGGGAGTCCTATCTGGGCAGATTCCTATCTGCAAATTTTTGTCTCTTTCCCAGGCAGGGAGGGCAGCCGCAAAGGGCTTGTGGAGAAACCGCTGCATTCCCTTCTCAGCACACAGACTTTCAGATGCCCTGCAGGGTCAAGGAGCCCAGTAACGCTAGGCCTCATGCTGGGCAGGGGATGGGGTGGGGTAGTCCAAGCCTTCTGCTCACACCAGTGTGGCTGTCACCGGGCAACGGGAGGCCAGGGTGCGCTCTCCACTCTTTGCCCAAGGCCTTCTCTGTCCAGGGCTGAGAACAACCCCTCCACAGAGAGGGGGCTCCCTGAACATGCTTTCCCCAAACCAGACAAACAGCTCAACAAGACAGCTTTGTTTTGGGAACATTTGGCTTTGGGGCTCAGGGGTAGGGCCTCACAGAGGAGCCCCCTGCCTCCCAGCTGCCCTTCATGAAACACCCTGCACCCCCCACCTTCGATATTTGTTCTTTTCCCCACTCTTCTTGTGTCTCATTCCCCTTTGACAATAATAAAACTCTCAGTTGGTTGGTTTCCCCGACTCCATCCCACACCACCCCTTTTCCTTGGTCCCTCCACATCCTCTACATCCCAAATTCCCCTTTCTCAGGCAGCTTGCCTCCCCTACCTTTGGCTGGACAGGGCCCTAGGGACTGGGAGAAGAGTCCTGGTCCTGGAGATTAGTGCTAGGACTTAAAAAAAAAAAAAAAAGTGCTCGGCCAGGGGAGACTGGACCCCCCCTCTCTCCCCCCTCGCTGCTAGTCCCTCCCACGTCCCCTTGATCCCTCCCACATTCCTCTTTCTCCCTCCATTCCTCTCAAGCCAGTTCCCTCCTCTACGTCCTCCCCTCCCTGGTGGAGCTGGCCACTGCCGCGCCACCTCCCCCCTTCCCCTTATCCTCCCGGCTCAATGAAGCTTTCTTTTCCCGCAGGTTGGAGGCTGGGCAGCTGCGATCAGAGAGCTGGATTGCAAGCGGCCGCCGGGTGGCGGCCCCCGTGGCAGTGGGAAGCCTTCCAGCCCCCAGCCCTTCCTCCATGTCCCTGGCTAGCCCGAGTGTAAACAGTACAACTCGGGCAGGGCCACGGGTGGGTTTGGCCAAGGGAACTCAAAGCTTTAAAGGCCCACTTGGCCTTTCTGGTGTCCCCAGGGTTCCTGGGGGTGATGTCACATCCTTTACTCTGATGTCACGTTGAGCACGTGACGTCACATGCTGTCCCCAAGACCAGGCGCCAGGGCCCTCTGGCTGAAATCACAAAGTTTCTCTGGGTGGAGCCACTTGTGCGCACCCCAGAGTTGTGGGTAGGGGCCTAGAGGTAGCGCGCCGCCTGTCTTCGGTGGGTCCCTTGACTCCTTCCTTCTTGCTCCTCTCCTCCCGCCCTTCCCCAGTTTTAGCTGTGGGGGCCGAGGGAGGGCCGGCCCCGCCCACAGCCCCTCCTCCTGCCTCCCGCCCTCAGAGTCAGGAAGCGCGGAAGGAACTGCCGGGGGCCATGGACGGGGCTGTGATGGAAGGACCGCTCTTTTTGCAGAGTCAGCGCTTCGGGACCAAGGTAGTCGGGGGCGGGAATGCCGAACCCCATCGGGGTGGAAGTGAGTGAAAGGGTCCAGCCAGAGGGAGGGGGCGGGTAGCATGTTGGAGCGCCGGGCGCTGGCAGTTGGAGAGCCCGGTGACGTTCTCGTGAAATGGCTTTGCACATTCTCACAAAATTGCTTTTGCACACAGAAGCGTGTGCAGACTCTGGGTATACACCCTTGATGCTGGAGGTCCTTCTTGGGAAACTTTGTCTCTTGACTGGAAGTGCCAGACCTCAAATTGGCCTGCGCGGGTCCTTCCTCTGCCGTCCGGGTGTTGCTGCTCGCGCACTTCTGCTCCCTCCCTCGCCCCTCTCTCTTTCCTTCTCCTCAGAAGTGGAGGAAGACCTGGGCTGTGCTCTACCCGGCCAGTCCCCATGGTGTAGCGCGGCTCGAGTTCTTTGACCATAAGGGGTCGAACTCTGGAGGTGGCCGCGGGGGCTCGCGCCGCCTGGACTGCAAGGTGATCCGTCTGGCCGAATGTGTGAGCGTGGCTCCTGTGGCAGTGGATAGCCCCCCTGAGCCGGGCGCCGTTGCGTTTCGCCTGGACACTGCGCAGCGCTCGCACCTGCTGGCAGCAGACGCTCAGTCCAGTGTCGCTTGGGTGCAGACGTTGTGCCGAAACGCCTTTCAGGTGAGGGGACCGGGGTTCTAGGCGAGGGGCTGTGGCAAGTGGCCCTGGGCCTAAAGGGCGGTTTAAGGTGGAGTGGTTAACAGAGGCGGTCTACTATCCCGTACCCCAGAACTGCGTTGAGGAAATTATAGCGTCATTCATGCTCTCTCTACTACAGAAAGGCAGCTGGGCTCCGGTGCTGGCAGAGAACCCACCTAAGCTTTCTGCCCTGGAGATGCTGGAGAATTCGTTGTACAGCCCCACCTGGGAAGGTAGATACCTGAGAAGGCAAGGGTGGAGTGGGAAGGAGGCGTGCTCTTGGTGAGTGGGTGATTACAGGGGCCAGGGACTCTTAGAGAAGAAGGAAGCCTCTGAGATTCCAAATGAGCGCTTGGACACTACTCAGGAGTCCTCTGGGTCTCCACCCCTGTCCACAGTGCACCATTCCCCAGGTGCCCATCTAACTGTGTATTCCTTCCAGGATCCCAGTTCTGGATAACCGTCCAGAGGACTGAGGCTGCTGAGCGCTGTGGCCTGCATGGCTCCTATGTGCTGAGAGTAGAGGCCGAGAGATTGACACTCCTGACCGTGGGAACACAGAATCAGATCCTAGAGCCACTCCTTTCCTGGCCCTATACCCTGCTGCGGCGTTATGGGGGTGACAAGGTGCAAGGGCTGTCAGGGAGGTCTGTGAGGGTGGGCTTCCTGAGTTGGATAGCTGTAGGCCAGGAGGGGCAGGATAGAAAGATGGAAAACTCCACCCTTTGAATACTCCTTTTGCCTATACCCCAACCCCACCCTCCATCCTCAGACTTGTTTGTAAATGCCCTAAGTAGTTCAGGTCCTGTGATCTACCTCTTCTGATACTCCTAGTAATGTGTTTCCCTTCACACCCTCCTCAGGTCATGTTCTCTTTTGAGGCGGGTCGCCGCTGCCCCTCTGGCCCTGGAACCTTCACCTTCCAGACCGCACAGGGAAATGACATCTTTCAAGCAGTTGAGACTGCCATCCATCGGCAGAAGGCCCAGGGGAAGGCAAGAGAGGGGCAAGGTGTCCTCAGAGCTGACTCCCTTGCAAGAGAGGGGCAAGGTGTCCTCAGAGCTGACTCCCAAGAAGGGGAGGTGGCAGAAGGGAAATTGGCTTCTCCTCCTGTTCCCCAGGAGGTACTAGGCAGTACCCCAGTCCTGTATGCTGAGCCCTTAGACTCCCTGCGCATTCCTCCAGGCCCTTCCCAGGACTCTCTCTACTCAGACCCCCTGGACAGCACCTCTGCTCAGGCAGGGGAGAGGGTACAGCCCAAGAAACCTCTTTACTGGGACTTGTATGAGCATGTGCAGGAGCAGTTACAGAAGGCCAAGCTGACGGACACCAAAGAGGACCCCATCTATGATGAACCTGAGGGCTTGGCCCCAGCCCCTCTTCGGGGCCTTTATGATCTGCCTCAGGAGCCCAAGGATGCATGGTGGTGTCAGGCTCGAGTGAAGGAGGAGGGCTATGAGCTCCCGTACAACCCTGCTACTGATGACTATGCTGTGCCACCCCCTCGGAGCATAAAGCCCCTCCCAGCTCCCAAACCCCAGGGTCTGGCCTTGCCTGAACCTGGTGCTACAACTGGCAGTGGCAGCAAGGGCCACAGGACAGACACTGCCCTGTACAGTCAGGTTCAGAAGAGTGGGGCCTCAGGGGGCTGGGACTCTGGGTTCTCTAGAGTAGGGAATGACAGAACTGGAGTCAAGACAGAGGGCTCTACCTGAGAATGTTGCTGATATGAGGACCATGGTAAGGTGACACTGGGGATAAAAGAAACCTGTTAAAACAAATAGGACCAGAGAGTGTGAGGGGCCCAGATGAGACCTGAGGATCAAGGGATTAGGGAAATCAAGGGGAGGATCATCAGTCCCTAGAAGTCCTAGGGTGTGGAACTGATGGCAGGGCTGAGGGATAGACTCTGAGGAGGGTCAGCATTCCTAGTTATCCCTCTCCTAAAAGAACAGACAGCTGTTTGCTCAGGTCTGCAGAAAGGGGTACTCGGTTAGAGTGGATACAGTTTGAAGGGCCTGTATGGAGGTTGCCTGGGTACTTACTCCTGCACTTTTCTTTGCCAGAGAAATATTTTTATAAATTTAAAGATTCTCATTAAAGTCATCTTGGGTTTAAGAGGTCTCTGTGTGTGAATAGACACAGAGTGGGCACAGTGGCAGGGTATGCTGGGTGAGTGTGGAGGGGATCAAGAAGAGAACCAGGAATTTGTTGGGGGCCATAAGAGGAGGAGGGACCCTGGGAGGGAAGCCTGCAGTGTGGCAGTTCAGAACCTGGGTAGTCAAGTCAAGGCCAATCTCAGCTGGACTCTAACTCTGTGTCCCTGGGTGAGTTGTATGACATCACTCTTCCCTATTGCCCCCTTTGTAAAGTACAGAAATTAATAATGTTCTAAATACCTCCTGGGGTGGTTTGTATGAAATGCAAGTACATTTCTGAAGTACTTAGTGTAGTCTGAAGCACAGAGAAAGTATTTTACAAATGGTAAAACTATTCTGTGGGTGGAGGGAGCTGACAGGTGAGTAGAGTTAGGGAGAGAGGAATAAGAAAGGAGCAAGCCTTTTTGACACCATCCTTTCCCCTGTTCTCAGGTATATGACAGCCCCCAACTCCCAACACACACACTTTGCATGTAGGTAACAAGCACCAAGCACTTGTCTATTTGGAGCTAAAGGAACTGCAATGTGGTGGGTATACTGGGAAGAGCACTGGCTCTGGAATGAGGCTTGGGTTTCAGTCCTTGTTTTTCATGAGTGTTGAAAACCTTATCCCCATCTGCTTACATGAGCTACAAGGAGAAATTCTGGGCTGGGAATGCTCCTAACAATGGTGAAGGTTTACTAGGCATTTAATCTTCATCTGTGACAATAGTATCAAATGATTGAAAAGAAAACAAGGGTCCTTGCTGGAGAAGGGATAGGCTTGGGTGTGTTGCTTCTCAGCCTGAGTGGGGCAGTGGCAGCATAGAGGACAGAGAAAGGAAAGGCTCTTTCTTCGCCTGAGCTCACGGAGGCTCAGGTGGATAGAGGGCAGGTGTGACTACAGATAGCCATTATGCGGGTCTTGGCATGGACGTGGTGGCTGAGTAGGGTGGCTACACTCTGGTGCTAGTAACTCAGGGCCATGAGGGATACTTTTCCTCCACTCAGAAGGCCGCAAGAAGGCTTCTGAGGAAGCTTTGCTGGCTGCTGGCAACTTGGGGGCTGTGCTCAGGGCTGGAGTCATTGGCAGGGGGAGCACTGTGGCACGAACTCTGTTGGTCTGCAACTGCCCAGCCTGTGAAGAGAGCAAGCAGAGGCTTCTCTGAAGATCAGACAGATGCTGAGGTCCTTTCCTATTCCCCCTCGAGCCTCCTGTCCCTCACATGTTCCCTCTCTAGAGTGAAAACGTCAAGGCTCAGGGATATGACTTTGGAGTCTCCATGGCCTGCAGCCTCTACAGTGTTATCTCCTCGCCCAGTGTCCCTTCTCTGTCAGCTTGCCCACAATCTAACTCATGGAGGGCTCTTCCCACACATCTGGTCAATTACTTCCCACTCTAGACTGGAGTTGGGAAACATCCTTCTCCTGTAATTTTAGCTAATACAAAATGGGAGTTTTTCTAAAAGATCTGTTACTGAGAAACTTGGAAAAAAATTCATAAGGGCAAAGGGCAGCCCAAATATTACAGAGCATGGGTCTTAAAAAATATTTCTTCTTCAATTTCTTATTTCAACCCTTGTCACCAGGGCCCTGTCTCCAAGTTACCAAGATTGATTAGCTTCCCTTTTCTCATCTGTACAGTGAGTATAATACAACTTGCTGGGATGCTGGGAATATTAAATGAAAGAAATATGTGAAAGCACTTGTCATAAAACCTGGAAAATGACTGACACTCTATAAATGTTATTTTCCTTTCCCATAGGCAGCTCTTTTTCCACCTTCCCTTCCACCTTTTCTTTCAAGGAGAGAGCTATGGTTGTAGTTCCAGTATATCCAGTTTGCTTAATGGAACAATGGTCTTGTTAAATGACTAATGAGTTATCATAAACACTATAATTAAAACACCCAAGCTTTATATGTAAATGCCTAAGCAGACAAGCCTCCTTATCCCGTGGGGTTGGGATTTCTTCCTTTCTCCTTCCTTCCTTCCTTCCTTCTTTTCTTTTCTTTCGCTGATACTGGGGATTCAATCTAATGCCTCCCATATGCTAGTTAAGTGCTCTGCATTAAGCTATATTCCAAACTCTTTTTATTTTTTTTTTTGTAACAGGGTCTCTTAAATTGCCTAGGCTGGCCTCAAACTTGTGATCCTCCTGCCTCAGTCTCCCAAGTAGCTGGGATTAACAGGTTGCCATATCCCAGCTCCTTGTCTTTTTTTCCCTCCTTTCTTGGCCTGATTAATTCTTTCACCTGGGGTGGGATCAGGGAGGAGGGCTGCTTCCTTGAGTCAGGGTGGAGCTGGGGATGGGGATAGAGTGTTCTCTTGGGTTGTAGGAATAAAGGGGAGGGAATGATGTGAGGAAGGCAGGGAAGAAGGGGAGCTCTACCTTTCTTGGAGTCCTGTTCTCCCAGTTTGGGTAAAGCCGCCCCTGAGGCTTGGCAAAAATGCTGCTCAGGTGTGAGTACAGATGGCTCCAAACCTGTAGTGGGTTGTAGGTGGGCTCCAGCTCCAGGCCATCCAGCATGCTCTGAGGAAGAAAGGAGGAGCTTCACTTGGGAACTTGAGGTCACATAATGTAAGATGCAGAGACCCTTGTATGTGAGAGGTTAGAGGATGTATGTAGTCCTAGGGCTGGAGAAGAGGCAGTGAAACAGACACACCTCAAAGAGTGTGCTGTCCAAGCCTGAGTGCTATGAGGTAAATGGCAACCAAGGGTATGAAAGTAGGGGCAACCCCAAGTGGTTGGGGACTCTGAATTAACTGGCCCTGGGAAGTGGGTCACCAGGTTCTTGGGAGTAGCTAGGACAATCCTAAGGGGTACAGGGATCTGGTATGGGTGGCTGAGGGAGGGAGTGTCCTCAGGGTGGGGGTTCTCCAATCTGCAAGGCAAGTACACAGAGTTCCTGGCCTGAGGTGAGCTGAACAGAGAAGGAGGGACATAGGAGCACAGCATTCCTGAGCAGTCAGGTTTTCCGGCCACAACATCCTGTGCCAGGAACCACTGGCCCCAAATCGAGACACTGAGTGAGCCACAGCCACTTGTACCCTCCTCTCTCTGCATCCTCTTGGCTGCCAGGCTCTGTCCTTTCAAGTCTGCTGGCAATCCAGCACTGATGTAGTTCTGGATCTCCCTCTCCAGAGCCTCCCCATCCCACCCCCAGGCTGCAGAAACTAGCCAAGGAAAAACAGAATCCAAATGTAGAGAAGAGAGGAGGAGAAGGTGGCTTTCAGGACTGTTCACTCCTTTGCATTCAAGTCTAATTTTGGGGCCCTTCCTATTCTGGTTCCTACGTTGATTGGCTTTTGCTTTTTTCCCAACAAATAGAAATAGATGCCTAGAAACAGGTCTAATACCTAACACCTGTACACATGTACTGCAGAGAATTAGACCTGGAAGAATGCATCATCACACAGACATGCACAGGAGGAGCCACACACTAAGGCACAGACATGCAGCCACCTACAGACAGCACATACACATTCAGGGACACCAAAATAAACATCCAAAGACACTAAAACACATATACAAGCTTCAGTTTCTTTGGCATCTCTTTTCACTCCCTCCTCCCTTCTTCTTTTTTCCTTTGCTATCCACTCCGTCTTGTCTTTCCCCTTTCCTTCCTAATGTACTCCTTTCATTTTCCCAGTCCCACAGTCTCCTCTCCATGATGAAAGTGTTAGAAATTCAGAGGGGGAGAGGAGCAGGCAGGATAGCTGCTAGCAAAGATAAAACTAGACCAGATAGAACAAGAATTCAGTGCTCCACCTGGTGCTGGACCTGCCTGTGCTGACTTCCTCCCCTGCCTCCATTCTCCCTTGCTTGCTCTCAGCTTTCCCTTCTGACACTCTCCCTTTTCTCCTTTGCAGCTCCCCATTGGTGTTTATTTTAATCGGATTTCAGGGTGTGTGTGTGTTTGTGTTTGTGTTTATGCTCCTCCAGGATGTCACTAATTCCCAGTCCTTAGCTTATACCAGTGATCTTTTTCTCTCTCAGTTCTCTTTTCAAACCTCATTTCCCTCAAGCCAAGTAGGAGTTTCCCTTCTACTTCATTTCTCACTTTGCTGCCTTAATCTTAGCGTTGACTGCCCACTGCTCTCACCCCCATTTCCCATCCCTGCAGTCTTCTTTGACCTTCATGCCACACCCATGGGATCACTCCCCTCTCTACCCTCCCCCAATTATCTTCTCTCTCCTCTATCTATACCATGAGACTGGGTTCCACTTGCCTCCACAGTCTCAAGGCTGTCTTCAGGAGGGTCCTCAGGCAGCAGGGGGAAGGGGCTGGGCAGCATGAGTTCCCGTGTGGCCACAGCCTTCACCAGCAATGTGGGCGAGTTCGATGGCATGATCACATAGAAGGTGCTGGCAGGAACTCTTTGGCTGTGTCCTAGGCTCAGGGGTTCCCCTTTGGCCAATAGCATCCATTCTCTTTTCTGAAACAAAGCCATATATAAATGCTAATTAACCTTCAGTCTTTGCCATATTTTGAGGATCAGTCTCAACTGAGACTTCCCTGTTCCTCTAGGGGTACTGGGGAGGACAGAACATTTCACTTTGGCCTGGGAGGGAGGGGCTTCCTGCCTGAATCACCAATACCACAAGGTACTATCTTCCTCCCTAGTCCAGGATATGCCAGAGTGAAACACAAGTTAAGAAATGCTCTTTAATTTGAAGTTGGTGGTACCCCAAGTGGATTATTCAATGGTGAGTGTTTGTTTCCTGTATTTGTTTGTTTGTTTGCTTTGGTGCTGGGGATTGAATCCTGGACCTCACGTGTGCTAAGCATGTGCACTACCGCTGAGCTATATCTCTTGCTGAGAATTAGAATAATTTTTTTCTTTTTTTTGTGCGTGTGTTTGAGGAGTGGGTACTGGGGATTGAACCCAGAGGCTCTCTACCAGGGGCCATAGCCCTTTTTAATATTATTTTGAGACAGAGTCTTGCTAAATTGCCGAGGCTAACCTCAAACTTGCAATCCTCCTGCCTTAGCCTCCTGAGTTGCTGGAATTACAAGTGTACATCCCCATACCTGGCTCAAGAATTATAATTCTTGGGCTGGGATATAGCTCAGTCTGTAGAGTACATTCCTAGCATGCACAAGGCCCTGGGTTCAATCCCCAGCAGCACCACCAAAAAAAAAAATTATAATTCTTAACAATGTCTGGGAACAGAGATGAGTAAACCAGGCACCATGGTGCATGCCTGTAATCCCGTTTGGGAAGCTAAGGCAGGAGGATTGAAAGTTTGAGACCAGTCTGGGAAACTTAGTGAGACCTTATCTCAAATTAAGAAAATTAAAAGGGCTGGGGATATAGCTCAGTGGTAGAGCACCCCTGGATTCAATCTCTAGTACTGTCAAAACAACAACCATCACCACCACACCAGCAAGCTAAGTGACAGAAATGTGTCGAAGGTGGTATAGAAATTCAGGTTTTAATTTGAGGGTGATAAAGTCTGGTTGTGTTGCTACTCACTGCAGTTAGAATGGGATGATTGGGGTGTGCCCCTCTAATGCCCAGAATGGGTTTAAGAAAGTACTCAAAGGGCTGGGGATGTGGCTCAAGCGGTAGCACGCTCGCCTGGCATGCGTGCGGCCCGGGTTCGATCCTCAGCAGCACATACCAACAAAGATGTTGTGTTCGCCGAGAACTAAAAAATAAATATCAAAAAAACTCTCTCTCTCTCTCTCTCTCTCTCTCTCTCTCTCTCTCTCTCCTCTCTCACTCTCTCTTTAAAAAAAAAAAAAAAAGAAAGTACTCAAAGCAGCCTGTTGGGTAAGAGAAGGAGGGGACAGGGAGAGGAAAGCTTTAGTATAACCAGGTTGAGGTGGTGGAGACAGGGCTTTGGAGATCAACCCAGCTAGTCATAGGACAAAGCCAAGGGTCAGGATTCTGGTCACAGCAGCTCTGTGAATAAAGATAGGTGGCATTTTGCCACATACCATGAAGATGACAGAGGTTAGTACATGGATAAGGAGAAAAGACAAGCAGACTTAAAAGCAGACTTTGTAGTTGCACCTTTTTAAATGAGGCAATTTTCCGTGGTATTTTTCCAAGGAAACACACAAAACTCCAGGAAATATGGAGCCAGAAAGGTTACAGTCATCTGTAAATTGTGTCCTTTTGTGGGTGATCATTAGTTATATCTGGCACAAACATAAGTCTCCCTGCTACATAAGATGAAAGAAAACAATACCAGTTCTAACCACTCTAACTTGTATGAAAAGTTGGAAGAAATATTGTATGAGAAAGGCACAAGGAAAAGGAAAAGCTTTTAAGAGAAAAGAGGGCTATCAGTGTCTTAAGGAAGACAAGTAGGAAGTGACTTAGGGAGGTGGCAACACCTGCTGCATTGGAGTTATACACAGAGGCTGGGTAAGAAGGGGTGGCGGGGGAGGCTCTCTTGACTCATAAAAGTAGTGTCATCATCCTATGCAGCACAGAGGTTTGAAGAGTCTAGTAGGCACCAACAAGTGGTAGGGAAGCTGTTAATGTCTGCAAGAAGTGTGTACCGTTCCTGTGGCTGGTGACCTCTCTGTGGGGTGGGAATCAACTGATATTTCTGGAGGTATAATACTACCTCCTCACAGAAGTTTGTTTGTTTGTTTTTTTGGTGGGTGGTGATGGTGGTAGTGGTGGTTAGGTGGTTTGGGCATGGGAGAATGAATCACAACCATAATGATAATCACAAACATTAATGAAATGCTTAACAGGTGCCAGGCACTGTGCTAAGAGCTTTATAGGTGATTTCAGAAGTTCTTGGCATCTTATATTTGGAGGTGTGCTATCTTCCTGAGGGACATATCCAAAATATGATGGGAAATATATCTGATTCTTACCAAATCCATCAGGTTGGAAATAAATGATATAGAAATCATGGTACATGTGTGTGTTGGGCTATTTGCGTGCCTCAGGGTCATGGCCTCTTTAAGCCCAAAGGGATAAATAGGAAGTTTATAAGAGCACTCCTCTTCAGTTAGTTGAAGTAACTTCTGATAGGGCTCAGGATTTGAATTATTATTATTGTTATTTATACTTTTTTTTTTTTAGTTGTTGATGGACCTTTATTTTACTTATTTGTATGTGGTGCTGAGAATTGAACCCAGTGCCTCAACACATGCTAGGCAAGCACTCTACCACGGAGCTACAACCTCAGCCCTGGATTATTATTAACTTTTAAATCTAATTTTTACATTAGTTCATGCATTCTTTTGTAAATTTTCTTATTTGTTAAAATTTATTTAGTGCCTATTATGTTCCAAGCACTAGGTGTATGTTGATAGAAATTCATTAGACATGTTCCTTGTCCTCTTGGAGTTTATAAGAGAGTAAGGAGAAGGCTTATAAACTAATGTTTGTCCAAGTCTTAGGATGCTCAACTTGTCTGGCTTGCCTGTTTTTAGTACTGACAATTTTATGCCCCAGGTAACCCTTAAGTCCTGGACAAATCCTTCCAAGACTTGAGTAAGCATAAGGTATCTTGCCACTGATGCAAGAGGTTAGGGGCTAAAACTATGCCACTGTGACGTTTTTTTTTTTTTTTTTATGTCTGCTAATACAGACGTAAAAGGAAGAAACTCATCCCTGCTACTTTGTGGGGTTACTAAGAATCTTTGAGTGTTGCACTCTGAAAACTTTTGAACACTAGAATTTAAGTCTATTGATTTTTAGACAGTAGCTAAGTTTCTGTTGGATAACTGGTAGGTGGAAATGATTACAGTCTTTTAAAAGTCACTGCTGATGCTGGGACTGTCAGAGGACTGGGAAGACTTGTGTTGCTGAAATGATTTTACAGAATGTTTTAAAACTTCTGGATTGATTTACAGAGAGTTTAGTTGAAGTCTATTTTAGGAGCTTCAGCAAATACATCTTTATTCCATGAAGACTTATCTTCAGTTCCCAGAAGCATTCAGAGAAAGTGAGAAATAGAGAAGTCAAACTTCAAGGTGTCCTTATTTAAGGTTTGGAATTTCTACCCTCTTCCTGGACAGAGATTAATAGTACCAAGGCCCAAGCTTGAAGATATTACTCAAGTCATGGGTTGACCTGCTAGGATAGGCAGTGGTACCTATGATGGACATGGTTAATTGCCATAGCAGGTGTCTGAGGCTGGGAAAAAGCATTGTCTGAGGATAGCCCAGAAGACCAGCCTTTGGGGTCCTTGACTTAAAAACATTGCTTAATGACTGGAGATGACTGCTGAATAACTTAACATATGTTTTGTGCTAATTCTAAAGAAAGGAGCATGAGTTATATGTTAAACTTTTTGCTTACAAGAAGGAAAGTAAAAAGAAGTCTGTGTTTATGTTATAGTTAGTTATACTTTGTCATATAGAGTGCCAGCCCAGGACACTTAGACTTTATAAAGAGGGCCTGGAAATCTGTAGAGCAGATGGACAGGGACAGAGTTGAATGTTATGTCATACTTCAAGCTTAGCTTAACTTAAAGTCATTTCATTCTTTTTTAAAAAATATTTATTATTTTTTAGTTGTAGTTGGACATAATACCTTTATTTCACTTATTTATTTTTATGTGGTGCTGAGGATTGAACCCAGGGTCTCGCACGCTCGAGGTGAGCGCTCTACTGTTGAGCCACAACCCCAGCCCCCATTTCATTCTTCACTTAACTTCTAATTGCTAAGGCTATAAAGGAAGTTATGGCAATACCTGGCTAGCCACCACTGGCTAGCCACCACTCCCATTCTCCACTCCTTTTGCTCTACCCAATTTTCAGTCTTCAGTCATTGGTCTAGGGGTGATTATGTGACCTGGATTTAAATAATGAGACATAAGTGGAAGTTGCTGGGTGAGTCTTTTGGAAAAACTTTGTAATATGATGGTAGGCCTTTGCCTCTGTACCTTACTCCTTTTTTCTCCCTTGGACAGGACTTGGTCTTAGGTGTATCAGCTCTCTTGTAACCAGTTGTAAGGATGATGTACACCTGCTATGAATGCTGGGGCACAAAAACAGAAAGATCTCTGGTCCTTGAGGTTCTCATTGATCAACTGCTTTTGCCCTGAAATTGTCTATCTTCAGACTTCTTTTTGTAGGAGAAAAATAAACTATTATTTAATTTACAGTTGTTTTTCTGTTAGTCACAGCCAAACAGATTCTTTAAAGGAAAGGAAGAAGATGTAGTTACTTATATCTGGGTATATGGCTGGGACAGGAGTGAAAGGAACAGCTTCAGGAAGGAACAGCACTGATGTAGGCTTTGCTTGAAGGGTAGGTAGGAGTTCATTATAGCAGGTGGAAGCTTTAATTTTACTAAACCAGCACTGCCTTAGTTTGCCATCGGTGTGATGGCCTGAGACTAATTTCAGAATGCAATTGAAGAAGCACAGATCAACTCCTGAGTGAGGGTGTTTCAGAGGCAGTCATTGACAGTAGGAGGAACAAGACCACTCATTTTGCTTTGCTTGTGGGGAAGAG